ATCAGAAGCCCGTATTTGTACACATCATTTCACTCTCCGTATAACCATACACTTCGTTTCACTCCGTTCCTGGTATTCTCATGAACATAATACATATTAGTATAGAATTTGGCATAACTACTGATACATTTACCAATTACGTACATAAAGAAATGCCAAAAAACTTGTTTCAAACAACACTCTTTTGAAACAAAACTGATTGTTTTGGAAAATCTGGTTTATTTCAAGATCTACCAAACTAGATTTTTGAATGTTTGCTTAACGTTAACGTTAATGTATGTACATGTGTACAGGGGTGATAGTTTCCTTAAATATATGTGCCATGATTTAAAGTTGAAAAACAAATACTCTAAAGGAAAGTCAAAAAACTTTTTTTTATGCCTATAAAATAATTACAGCAATGCTCCCTTGTAGTATATGATACCGGTAAGTTGTAAAGAATAGACATTATAGATGCTCGTAGATTTTCTTTACTAAAGGTGAATAAAAATATAAAAAAAATTCATAAGATTATTCGATTATCCGCTATGTATATGAGTTTTTTTATACTGTAAACCTTGACTCAGTATCATTAATCTCTTTAAAAGCTATAGTAGTAAATTCTTGCATCTTCTAATTATTTTCAATAAAATATATTTAATGCTTATCATTATAAATCTGCTTATCACTGAAACTATACTTACATATCGAGATGAATACTTGTATAGTACTGGATAAGATATTTTGGGATCAAAGATATACTGGATCTGGTTTGTTTAACGGTTAATATCTAATACACTACGCACAAAGACGAATGCATATATTATAATAAAAGTGATCAGTTATCTGATATAATAATAAGTTAAAATTAATAAAAGAAAATTCGTATGCTCAATTGAATAATATGATCTAATTTTTTTTTAATGTAACGGTTAATATCTAATGCCCTATGCACAAAGGCGAACGCGCATATTATAAAAGTGTTCAGTTATCTGATATATTATAGTAAGTTAAAGTTAATAAAAGAAAATTCGTATGCTTCAATTGAGTAATATGATCTACCTTATTTTTTTTAATGTAATGGTAAAACAATCACTTTAATTATAAATTCTTGCATCTTTCATTATTATTTTCAATGAAATATACTGTATTTAATGCTTATTATTATAAAACCGCTTATTACTAGAACTATACTTATCTTTAATTATAAATTCTTGTGCCTTCTATTATTATTTCAATAAAATATTTAACACTTATCATTATAAATCTGCTTATTACTGGAACTATATTTACACATTGAGACGGATACTTGTATGGTACTGGATAAGATAAGATATAGGTTTATTTAGAGATTTGATATACTGAAATCTGGTTTATTTAACAGTTAATAGCACTATACACAAAGACGAATGTACATATATATAAGTGTTGAATAATAAGATTATGACCTTTATTTTTTTTAATTGTAATGATAAAACAATCACATTAAATACCTTTAATTATAAAAACTTTAGTATAAGATCTAAAAAAAAATTACATCTTTATTTCAAATAATATGGATGATGGCATGGAAGATTTATATGTTGAACCTTATTCTGAAACTGAAACTATATCAACTACACCCTCAGCTTCAAGTGCTAATAGTTTAACCCGAAAGAAGCGAAAAACCACTTCGTCATCTTCTAAAACAAATACGAAGTTACGTAGTAATTGCAGTCATACAGCTCATTTTTTTGAGTTAGATCCAAATAATTCTTCCGTCGCTTACTGTAAAGTCTGTGAAATTAATATATCTGGCACACGACAAAAACCTTATCCATATAATCGAAGAGGTGGAAATACCACGAATCTTATTAATCACTTGCGTGATAAATATGGAATTATGAAAGAAAACTATATAGAATTTTTGGATGAGCATAACGAAGTATATATATATGAATTATATTGTATTATATATATTTTAAAAAGATTATAGCATGATTTCCTAAAAGATATTTTTCAAAAAGAACATAATTTCAACTAAATAGCTAGCATTATAACAAATGCTAGCTAAATTTGTTAGTATTATATCTTTTTGAAAAAATAACTTACAAGAAATTGCACTATAACTATTTAAAAATTAAAAGTAATTTTTTAATTTATATTTTATAGCCTCGACGTGATCAAGCCAAAATAACTGAATATGCAAAAGCAGTAACTCAATGTTCATCCAAACGTCAAGAGCTTATTACTCAAATGCTTGTTACCTTTATTATTAAATTTGTTCAGCCATTATTTATTTTACAAAACTCATCATTTCGTGAACTTATTCTTACATGTGAGCCTGGCTATAAAATTCCATGTGACAAATCAGTTAAAGCTATAATTTACGATTCATTTTTGTGGAGTAAAGAACAGCTTCGCTTACTTTTAAATAGTAATGTTGTTGCTGTTCATTTAACTACTGACTTATGGACCGCCAAATCACGTCATAGTTATCTTGGTATAACAGCTACGTGGTTAACATCAAATTTTGAATTCCATGAAGCACTCTTATTCTGCAATCATCTTCTGTATCCACATTCAGGTGAAATTATTAGTGCTGAGCTATTTAGGGTCATAAATAACTGGAATTTGTCAAATCAAATATTAATCATTGCGACTGATAATGGTTCGAATATGGTAAAGAGTATTCAACTATTAAATGAGAAATTTTTACCACAAGTTAGACGGCAGCCTTGTGTTGCGCACACATTACAACTTTCGGTTTTACAAGGTTTAAAACAATGCAAACAAGTTCATCATCGAGTAAAGTGTTTGCAAGCTTTTTTTCGTTTGCCAAAACAGGCTCAGAGACTTCGCGAAGCTCAAAAAGAGTATGAATGCTTACCAGAAGATAATTATCATAATCCACTTGATGTCTTAACTGATGTTAAGACCAGGTGGAATTCTGTATATTATGCATGGAAAAGAATTTTAGAATTACATAATTCAATGCGATCTACTTCTACTACATTGTTGGCAAAACCTGATCGAAAATCACAACAAGAAGGAGAAAAACTAGAGCGACTATGTTTATCTTTTGAAGAAAAACAGTAAGGTTTAAAGTAAAGACCTGTGCGAACTAGACAAACTTAAAAAATTTTTAAGTTATGTTATATAAAAAATATATTTTAGGCCACACAAAGTTAATTTTTCAGTTTGTATTATATGGATCGAAAAAAATCGGTCAGCGAACAGATGTTTTTTTTCTGTTGGTCATATCGAGAAATTCCAAGCCCTATCAGGAAATTCTGAATAAAATTATAAAAAAAAATAAACTGCAAAAATTGAACGATTGGCATGATTGGAACTTAAAAAAAAAAAAAAAATTTGAAAAATTGAAGAAATGGGTCAGTGAGTAATGCAAAATGAAAAATTAACTTTGCATGGTCTTATAGATCGCACAAGTCTTAAATAAAATAATTTATATATATTAATATTATATTAATCTTAGTGGCAATTATCTAATTTTATTTATTTTTTTATAACTGATTTATTTATTTATTTATTTATTTTAAAGATTTCTTCAAGATGCAGTAAAACTTTTATCACCATTCGAAAAAATAACACGACGAATATGTGGAGCGAAATACTGCACTTTAAGCCTCGTTCATCCTTATATAGAATTATTAAAAAAATTATTTGCGCCTAACCATGAAAGTGGGAAAACTTATGATACATATCTCAATTTGATATACGGGCCACAAAGTGAAAGTGATAAAGAAGGAATAGAAGATTCAGATAGTTCAACAAGTGAAAAAGATGAAATTCTATCTGGTGGTTTACGTCAACACTGGCAATATGCCCATCGCCAATTTAGACAAAAAATGCGGTTAACTAAGGGAAAAGGAAGAAAAAAAGGTAAAAGAAAAGCAAATAATTCTTGTAGATATAAATAAGGTGCTAGGAAAGAAAATTCTGAAAAAGATATAGATGATTTCAATAATGTTGAGTATTTACCAGCTGCTGATACTGATGGTCTTCTTAAAAAAGTTCGGGCAGCTATTTTCTTATCACTTGATGAGTTGTGGTCAGCACAATCTGATTTGGTTCGAATTGCTACAATACTCGATCCTCGATTTAAAGATTTCAAATAGGATAACACGGGTGAAGAAAAAGATGCGTCACTTAAATTATTGCAAAATCAATACGATTCTGCAAAAGATTTTCAAACCAGAGATGTTCATGATCAATCAACTCAACAAACAACACCTACTCGTAATTGTACGGATGATGATGATGATTTTTTTCAAGCATTAGAACATAAAGAATCAGGCAGTTCATTTTTAACTGAGAAGGATGAAGTCACACGTTATATAAGGTATCGGCAAATAGATGTTGATCAGGATCTTTTAGAGTAGTGGAATGTAAACAAAAATGAGTTTCCAGTTTTATCACTACTTGCACTAAAATATCTATCAATTCCCGCTACATCTGTACCCAGTGAGAGATTGTTCTCAGATACGGGTAATTACATCTCTGCAAAGCGTACTCGACTATCTCCAGACTTGGTTAACCAGGTTTTGTTTTTAAAAAGAAACAGTGAGCATTTTAGCATATTCCGATCTGAGGAGGTATAAAATAACTATTGCTTATTAGGTCTATATATATAAAGTAGAAATGCTTAAAAATGATATTATTTAAACATATGAAATATAAATAGTTTCAATTTTTTAATACAGTCAGACCCTTCTGTAATCACTCATTTTGGGACAAAG